TTAGAGTTGCCAGGTTGGGAAACCCTGATCTAGTTTGTAACAGGGACTGACTAAGGTTCATAACATTGTCCTGTCTTACAGTCTCACCTTTAAAGCCCTACATGGCATGGAGCCAGGTTACCTGAGGGACTGCCTCTCCCCAATCACACAGAGAGGGCATGCTGCGGACCCCCTCGGTAAAAGAGCTCCAATTAGTGGGGTCCAGAAGGCGGGCCTTCTCTGCGGTAGCCCCTGCCCTTGGAATATCTTGCCCCTGGAGATGAGATTGGCCCTCTCACTCCTGGCCTTCTGGAAGGATTTGAAGACCTGGCTCTGCCATCTGACCTGAGGCGGGGAGGGAAGACATCAGGTGTGGGGATGGCTAGCCCCTGAGAGGCCAGACGTTTGCTGCTCTGAACCATTGGCCTCCTGGACTCTTTCTTTTTTAGTAATTGTTTTGTACAGGTTTTAGGTTTTAGGTTTTATGTAATTGTATATTTACAATTTATTGTTTTAATGAGTTGTGAGCCACCCAGAGTCCCCCATTAGGGGGAGATGGGCGGGGATAAATTTAATAAATAATAATAATTGATGTTCAAGATTATACTGGAAAAAGACTTCCTGAAAGCAAACTCTTAAAAACTGGAAGAACAGCTTCTCTTTACCCTCCCCTTGCAACATGATAGAAATTACTAAATCAGTGTTTTCAAATATAAGAAGGATCCCCTCTACACCCTTCTCACGAATAGAATAGGGAGCAAGGCAGAGTGAAAAACCCGTCTCTGACTTTTTTGTAAACAACACACGGGACCCTTCGTATGATACTGGCAAAATCTTTTATATCTAAGACTGCAATGCTTTTGCTGAAGAAGGACCCGTTTTTGCTTTGCATCAAGGAATTCTCTCTCTTGAAAGCAACCTGCCCAAACATCAGCAGCAGAGACTTCTTAAATTTACCCCCACTTTCTCAGATCTATTTGCTAGAAAAGACACTTTCCCTGCAATTCTCCCAAGCTGTTTTCCCCATCTTCCAACTTTTCAATTTGAGTTAGTTAATAGTGACCAGGGATGGTTTAGAGCAGTGTTTTTCAACCTTGGCCGCTTGAAGATGTGTGGACTTCAACCCCCAGAATTCCCCAGCCAGAGGGTCCCTGCCCTGAGCAGGGTTGGACTAGAGGACCTTTGAGTGCCCGCCAACTTATCCGTTCTCGGTCTGGGAAAACGGGGGGATGGAGTGCCCCTGCGCCCCCAAAGAGGTTCTCGCGATCCATACCCAACATGCGACTCCTCCAGGCCGCTATCTCCTGCCCCCTTGAAACCGCGCCCCAGCCCACAGGCAGCCCCCTCCGGTTCGCACTCACCGGGCAGCGCAGCCATCGCCGCGTCTCCCTCCCCTCCCCCTCAGCCCTTCAAGCCACCTTTGCCGCCGCCGGAAAAGGGCAGGCGGTGCGCCCGCCCTGACGCTCCGGGTAGGAACCGGCGCCGCCTGGCCGCGCGTTCCGGCGGGGAGCAGGGCGCCGGCGTCGGTGCTGCCCCCTGGCGGCGGCGAAGGTGAGAGCGAGCGAGAGAGCCCAGATGCTCCGCGCGCCTCTAATGCTCTGCCTTCCTTCTCTTATTCTGCATTCTTCCTGTCTTCTTTTAAACATTTCTTTCCTCCTTCCGTTCATTCCTTTTCCCCTTTCCTTGATCCGTGTTCCCTTTCTCCTCCTCTTTCTCCTTTCTCCCTTTCCTCTTGTTTTCTCCTTCCTTTCTTCCTTTTTGCTTTCCGTCATCCCCCCTTTTCACCTTTCCTTCTTCAGTGCGCTCTTTTAATTTTCTCCTTCCCTTTCTCCCTCTCGCTCTCTCCCCCATTCATTCATTTTCTCCCCTTCTTTCCACTAAACCCGCAACTTTAAACCCACTTATTGCAGGAAAGCAGTTGTCTAACCCGCCCGGGGAGTTAAGCCTGTTGGGGACCCCTTTACACCCCCTTCCCGCCCCGCGCTGGCCTTGCACGTTATTCCTCCTCCCTCTTTTGCTCCAGTGTTTCTCAACGTCGGCCACTTTAAGTTGTGTGGACTTCAACTCCCAGAATTCCCCCAGCCAGCATGCTGAGTGGAGGAATTCTGGGGGTTGAAGTCCACACATCTTAAAGTTGCTGAGGTGGTCCGTTCCCTCCCATCTGCAATTTTAGTGGATGAACAAAAAGATAGCAAATGAATTTAGGTCCTTTCTCTGCTCCAGTTCCCAACGATGGGATTTCCGCGGGTGAGGAGCGGGCGGAGGGATCGCGTTCAGGAGAGGGGATTTTTCTCCTTAACGCCTGCTCCCCTTGCGACGCCAGCGCGGCCACCTTGGCTAGGGGCAGAAGCCTTCTTGCCCTCCCAGCATCCCCGATCAGATGCGTTCGCTTTCCCTCTCTCATTCCTGCCCGGAAACGAGGTTGCTATCTATCCCGTGATCACGGTCCTTAAGTTCCCCGGAGCGCAAAAGTGAACAGACTTGCAAATCGTCCTTTCGAAAACGGGAGATTGCTCGCGTCCCTGGGTGGGCTCGAACCACCAACCTTTCGGTTAACAGCCGAACGCGCTAACCGATTGCGCCACAGAGACCAAGCTGCTCAGGGCTCTTCTACCAGGGCTCTTAGAGAGGAAGATGCAATACTGGAAGCCAAACTATGATGCAAAGACAGAGGAGGATAAGGCTGGTGCTTCCTCCCCTGGAACTAACTTCCTTCCCTCCCTCCCATCTCATATATATGGGCAGCTAACAATTAAAGCAGAGTAAAAACCACTAAAAGCAACCAGAATTAAAAACAACAGAAATTAGCATTAAAATAGCAGCTGAGAACTTTGCCATTTATTTGCCAGATGTCTCTCCTGCAGTTCCTTAAAGCAACTTGCATGGGGATCGCCACAATAACAACCCTGTGAGGTAGGTTGGGCTAAGAGAGGGGGATTGGCCCCATATCACCCATCTCTTGCTGGGCTGCTGCTAGGATTACTATTATTACTATTAGTAATAATAATGTGCAGTGCTCAAGCTCTGTGTTTTCCCAAAAATGGAAGCACTGCCTCTGACTTAAGAAGTTTCCAATCATTTCTTTGAGCAGTGAATGGCTCTGAGTTTGACTCCAGCTGAGCAGGTCCTACAGAGTTGACTGAAGCAGTGTTTCTCAACCTCAGGAACTTGAAGGTGTGTGGACTTCAACTCCCAGAATTCCTCAGCCAGCAACTTTAAGAATGGACTTCAACCAAACATGCTGGCTGGGGATTTCTGGGAATTGAAGTCCACACATCTTCAAGTTACTGAGGTTGAGAAACACTGAACTTAAGCATCGTCTAGTGAGTTGGAGCCTGTTAGTCTTGAGGGAGTGGACAGGTCCATGGGACTGCAAATGCAAACATCCATGCGCCTTCTGGGCCTCCATGAGGGGGTGTAGGGCTGGATCCATGAAGTGTGAGGAGAAGGGATGGTTTCACCAGCTCTGAAAGATGAGTGGTCCACCCCTCCTCAAGAAGCCATCACTGAATCCAACCGAATTGGACAATTTTTGTCCTTTTTAGGGAAAGTTGAGAAGTTGGTTAGCAGCTCTAAAGGGTCCAGGAGGAAGTGGATTACCTGGATCTGGATTCACACCAGGGCATAGTACGAAGACCAATGTCAATGAGGTATGCATCCATCCTGGTCCTTCTTGACCTCTTGGTAGCCTTTGATACCATCTACCACAGTCTCCTGGGCCGAGTTGGTGGGAGGAATAGCGTTGTAGTGGTTCTCCACCTTCCTCCAGGGTTGGTTCCAATTGGTGTTGGAGGCAGAGTGGTCTAACCTTTTTTTTTTGGGTGCCTTTGAGTCAGTGTTGAACTCTGTTTAGGCTTCCCCCAAAGGGTTAAATTCACCAGGCAACCAACCCAGTTCAAGCAGCATCAGAAGTATTCAGTTTGCAGCAGTCTTTTTCACTTCTTTCCTATTCCTTTTTTTTCAATAATTTTCTCTACTCCTTTCAACAGATGTAATGGTCTGTGGGAATGACCTTGGGAGATAGGAGGGAGAACTGCAGTCTAGACAACCATCATGCAAAAGGTATCTCAGCCCGCAGAAGCAAAAGGGAGACGAGAAGCATCTCAGAAGGGACCCTCCCTAGTTCTCTGGAAAGTAAAAGCAAGGGAGGGGAGAAGTGCTTTCAGACTGCAAGATTCTGTTACTATAACCTTACAATAAAGGTAGTGTTAGTACTCATGGTTTGTGCTTGTCTGACTACCTTGAAGGGTTGACATCAATCTTGCTAGCCTGAAAGCATTTCTCCCTTCATGTTTACAGATAGTCCTCGGTTAACAACCATTCAGTGACCATTCAAAGTTATGATGGTGCTGAACGAGGAGACTTACAGCCAGTCTTTGAAGTTGCGGCCGTCAGCGTCCCACGGTCATGTGATCACCATTTGCGACCTTCACTGCCAGCTTCCGACAGCCAGTGGGAAACCTGGCAGGAGGTTGCAAATGGCGATCATGTGACATTACGCCTAAAAACTGCAATTGGAAAGTCAGTGTGGTCACATGATGTTGTGTTTTACCACCAGGTCACTTAACAACGGAGTTCCCAGTCCCAATTACTGTTGTTAACTGAGGACTACCTGTAATAGGGAGGGTTCCTTCTAAGATGCTTTCCATGCCCCTTTCCTGTGTGCTGAGATACTTTTTGCATGTTGTCTAGTCTGAGGTTCTTCCTCCTGTCTCCAAAGTTCATTCCCACAGTCCATTACAACAGAAGACAACCGTCTGGACCAATTCACAGGTTTATTGAGAGGAAATCTGGTAGCTTCCCGCTGTCCAAAGCTGAACAGTTGCCCATTTACTTCCAGGATCCTTGCGAGTTTGTATAATGTTTAAAGGCAACCTTTGGATCTTTTCAACAAATCCATATTAGTACATTCAGGGAGTTGCTGTTCTTCAAAGCACTTCTGAAACCTGATTTTAAGGAGACACCACACTATAATGTGAAGCATTGGAAACCAATTTATTTTTTCCAAAATTATAAAAAATACATGTTGCAGAGTGGGAGGTCATAAGGAATTAGTGTTCATGGAACAGTCAATAAAAATGGAGATTATTGAATTTCATCTGCATCTACCTTTTCCCCCCCAAACCAACACAGAATTACAATAAAATACTGTATGGTAGGATAAATGTTGTGTTGCAGAATCTCTAGGTTGATGATATAAACAGATTTATAAAAGTGAAGAGCAATTGATTTCAGACAACAATATATATGCACACAATACTGTATTTTTAAAAAGCACAGTTCAGAATTAGGGATATGCAAAACGTAAGATTAAAAAAAGGGCCACCCTAACTGTCACTCAATACTCCAGGCTTGAAATGAGACTGTTCTGAGGTTGGAAAAGTATCAGAATACTTCTGTAAGACTGAATCAGCTGTTCTGAGCTCAAAACAGGATCCTTCTGAACTTGAAATGCAATGTTCTAGGCTCGAAATAGTTTGAATTCAAAACATTTTGTATGTTGCTGTATGCATGCTTCAAAAATGAATCAGAAGTGCTTCTGAAGTTGGTAAGTGCAGCAGCTTCCTACAGCTCATTAAAGCAGTGTATTTTTTTTCCGGGCTTCTATGCAAGCCTGAAACATGTACCAACTCTAAGAGCTGTATTAGGATGTGGCTGACTTAATGAACCAACTCATCAAAGGAACTGTGTCTTTTGCCAGGCTTGTGCAAAAGCCTAAAAAAAAAAAAAAATGCAGCAGCTTTAATGAATAGTAGAGAGACGCTGCACTCACCCGAGTTCCAAAGCACTTCTGAATAAGTCTGGAACTGCGCACAGCTGCACCATTCAACATCAGAACAAACTGAATGAATCCCAACCACCCCCAAACAGCTGAAGAAAGGAAGAGAGAAGAGTTTGCAATATTGCAACGCATGTTGCTTTTGCTTCTAGTTAAATAGGTAGGGGAACTGTTTCAAAGGCCGTTCAGAGTCAACAGTCTGAACAATCTGATGGTGTATTCCCTATAGGAAATAAATCCTAGCTCAAACCACAATCAAGCCTACTACCTGTTAATATACATTTCAAAGTGTGTTTTAAACTGGAGGCAGCCCTCTGCAGTGACCCCCTTTGTTTTGCCAGGCGAAATGCAATTCAGTTTCTTCTCACTGAAGTTGGGGGGGGGAGAGGAAATGATACAGCAGGAATTATCTATTCCTCCTGAAGCATATTTCATAGATATCTATTTCATATGCATCTATATGTAAAAAAATAAATCTAATACTCTGTACAAAACCATGGCATTTAGTCTCCTTACAGACATACTCCATACATGGATAGAAAGAGAACTTCAGAGTTCATCTTCTGCAGACAGGTTCTCGCTTTGTTGGTGCTGTTTTTGCTTCTTCTCTTCAATTGCTTTTTCAAATTGTTCTCTCTCTCTGAAGGATTAAAAATAAAAAAAGTAGCAAGCAAACAAAACAAGCTTCTAGCAACGCTGGGGAACCCGAGAACCTGAAAAATGCTTTATTCCCTTTTATTTTTAAAGAATAAAGTTCAAGACCAAGCATGTTCCCTTCAGCCATAAACGTTGAATTTCACATTTTCTTTGTTACATCGCCAGGGAGCTTCCCCGTCATCTATAAAAGTTTGTCAATATGTTATAGTTTTATTGTTGTTCACTGTATGTATTTGAAATGACCAAAGGGGAAACAAATTATGGGGTAGAATAATAATGCCATGAATAAATGGTTGCTAGGCGTCTTGTGACAGTTTACTAAATCGGCATCTTGTGACAGTTTACTAAAGTGGCATGATACAGCCAGATGTTCTGTGAACTGTGATGTTTGGAGGGAGAACGGTTATACATGGAGTAAAGGTCCCCAGAAGAAAAACAACTGCCACAACCTCAACGTTGCAAAATTCAGGATGTCATGTTTTAGGAGTGGGGAAAGGAGAAAGATGCACAATAAAATAGCCCTCCCCAATCTGGCCCACTCTGAGGGGAATCCTTGGTTAACAACCATTCATTCAGCAACCGTTCGAAGTTACGAACAGTGCTGAACAAGGAGACTTATAGCTGGTCCTTGAAGATGCAGCTGTCGCAGCTTCCCTGTGGTCACGTGATTGTGATTTGGGCGCTTGGCAATTGGCTCACAATTACGACAATTGCACCATCACACAGTCACGTGATCGCCATTTGCAACCTTCATTATCAGCTTCCCACAATCAAAGTCAATGGGGAAGCCGACAGGAGGTTGCAAATGGCGATCCCGTGATGTCGTGCTTAATTGCCATCGCTAAGCGGAACAACCGGACAGCAACTGGAATTGCCATCGCTAAGCAGTATGGTCATGTGACATCACGCTTTACGACAATGTTGCTTAGCGACAGAGTTCCCGGTCCCAATTACCATCATTAACCCAGGACTGCCTGTACTGGCTTGAAGGCATTCCTTTTTGGTGGGAACTGAGGCACATTTGGCTCTCAAGGGCACGTCTTCCCTTACTGTTGGCCTTTCACTAGGCGGTGGGGCCAATTCTGCTTTTGGATCTTAGCAGGGGTGCTGGGTTTAGCTGGGATCTTCTTGTGGGTCTGAGGTTTGTGGATGGAGGATTATGATATTTTACTGCATTTTAAGTATCCAAACTGTCCAGCATCTAGGGATATGGGTGAGATACATTAAAAAATATACTTCCAGAATTCCTAGCAACCATCTTGATGGTGGTTGCGAATTCTGGGAACTGCATTCCCAACATGTCTGGAGGCACCAGGTGTGGGAGAGTTGGAGTAAGAGGTCACCACTGCATAATGTCACAGGTGTGCAAGAGGCACAGTCGTGAGATAGGCACACACATCTACGGGGGGAAGGTTCAAGTAGATACCTTTGGCTCACTAATGGTCCGTTGATGTATTTTTCTTCTGCTGTCTTGTAGTCCACCTGATCCACAGCAGAAATTGCATAGATGATGGCCTGGAGACCAAAAAATGGCACAGTTTAGAGGGCCTGTTTGTCAACATATCTGCTGTTCTGGAGGGGGGGGGGAGGAGGAGGAGGAGGAGGACTGCAACTTAGTGGCAGAACAGGAAGCTCTAGATTCATTTCCTAGTGTCTCCAAGTACAGATGGGAAAAACTTCTACCTGGAACTTTGGAGAGCTGCAGTAAGCTATTCTGGGCAAATACAACCAGAAGAACCAAGCTTTATGGGGAGAGCGACTCAACACAGAGCAGCTGCTTAACTCCCACTTCCTCCATTTTACTTACTTCTGGAAAGAGGACCTCCAGGACAAACTTGCTACTGTCCCTATTCTTAAGCGGCAGCTTCTTGGCTCCAACTTCCCGGTAAACTTTCCTTAAGTATTTGAGCACAAGGTCCTGCTGATCATCATCCTCCAGGTATGTCTCTAGGATCAAATACTGGGGTGTTTTGAGGGATTTTTTCAGCCAGCGTGACTGTTTCTTGCTGTTCAGGATTGAACGAAGGTGCTCATCAGCTCCTCTGGCTTTCACGATGAACTCCACAATCCGTTTGTTGGCTCTGTCCCTGGCCGCTCGTGTCCGGTCGGGAAGGATTTTCTTGGCCTGCTTCGAGGGTGTCATCTCAGCAAGGAATTCCTGGCTGTCCAACTCCTCCATTTGAGGAAAGTCCATCTGGGACAAATTATGGAGGGCTTCTTTCCGGACAGGATAGCCTTGGAAAAAGGAAGCCAGGATCTTTTCTCAAAATTGGACCAGCATCTAAAAGGTTGCCTAATCCGGTGTTTCTCAACCTTGGCAACTTTAAGATGCGAGGACTTCATGCTGGCTGGGGAATTCTGGGAGTTGAAGTCCATGCATCTTAAAGTTGCCAAGGTTGAGAAACACTGGCCTAATCCCTATTTCTCTCCTCATCACACAATTAATATATACAGGTAACGTTCTCAGGATGGTGAGTATCAGAAGTTTAGAGAATGACAATGCAGCTAAGTGTTGAAGGGCTCTCTATTAATGACATCAAACAGTTTTACAGAGAGAAGGAAGTCTAAGATGGCCCTGTTGTCTTTAAGCTGTTTGAGTTCGGTTGTATAAAGTGCACCACTCTCTTCCAAAGAATGGGGCCTTCTCGAGATAGAAAACGAAGCTTACTCACTCATGTCATCAGCACAATATTCCAGGAAGGACCCCACAAAAGAATGGCAACCTAGGAGGATAAGAATAATGCTTAAATTGGGTATAGATTGATATGTGCAGAGGAAGTCCTGGCAGGCTTTGGATGAGGGCCCCTGAGATTCTAAAAGTGATGATCAAATTGTAATTTTACCTACTATCACCCAAAGAGAAAATGATTGGATATGGGCCTGGACAATAATCTATATATCATTTAAATTCAATTTAAATGCAAATCAATTAACACTTATTGTTATTATTAGATTTATATCCCACCTTTATCAACTAAAAATATCTGAGTTTACCTATTCAATGTTGATAAAATAATGCTCCCACCTACTACACAACAGCCATCCTATGAGGTGGGTTCAGCTAAAAGGGAGAGGGACTAGCCCAAAATCATCTTGCCAGCTCCCATGTCTAAGGAACAGATCTCCCAGTTTCTAGCCTGGTTCCTTTCACCACTACACCAAACTGGCTTTCTTTTTCTCTTATCCTCACCCATTATTTTTATTTTATATATCAAATTTGTCACCCCCCATCTCGTTAAAAAGCGACTCTGGGCTTTTTTATCTTTTGCAGGGGGAGAGCATGGAAAATGTTGAACCAGCCTGATTAAAAAAAAGGTTTTTATGAGACCTGGCCTCCACCACTTCCTTCTAAAAAGGAGACCTGATATGAATTTGAAGTGAAAATCAGATGATGCAAGGGATGGTGGGGAGGCTGGAAAGGAATGGAGATCACAGACAGACAGTGGGCGAGTCCCTTGGCAGCTTACTTCATAAATGGCCACTCAGCCCAGGCGGTGAGAAATCAGCAGTAGGCTGGTGTGATTATTTATTTACTAAACACAATTTCTAGACCACCCCCTCATAATACATTTGGGCAGTGTGTTAAACCATAAAACATCCATCCCTTGAAAAGCGATGTCTCCTCTAAACTCTAGGAGCAATTAAACAAACAAAAACCCCAAACCATCAGTCTCCCCTATTCCAGTGGAAAAAGAACATCAGAAAGTAACCAGGACGTGCTGCTTAGTCATTGCTGGATCAAATATCAAATGGCCCTTAAAAAGAGGGGTCTTTGGTGATTTCCAGAATGCCAAGATACTTCTTGTGAGAGATGATGGGGAGGCTGGGAAAGGAATGGAAGAGATCACAGATATAAACCATCATCAAGAAACAGAGGATGATTCAGTTGCCAGATTATCTCATAAACAGCAGCTCAGCCCAGGTGACAAGGAATCTGGGAAGAAGCACTTCAAATCTGCCTCGATAAAGGATCCTCTACAAATGGAGCTGGGACATTCCTCTTACTCTTTCCAAGATTCTGCATTAATCCCAGAAGAATATTAAAGACACGTCATTGAAATCTGTGAGGTTCTTATCTTGGTCTTGCCCAGCTGCATGGCTTGATACCTGTGCACCTGTCGGAGAATTTTAGACACCATTTGTAGGTCACATATCACCACAGAAACGGTATCTGTGGCTTGCAGGACCAAGAGTGGAAAAATACAAATATTTGGCAAAGCAAATAGAAAAGGGGAGGGTGGACTGAAAAATAGGTGGGCCAAACCTCTCCAGGGCTTCATGTACTTTATCCCCTTCAAAACAACTCCCTGAAAAATGATCTAGGAATTCGGGCCAGTGTCCTCTGGCAATGTCCCCAGAGAACCATTTTTTTAAACTGAAATTCAGGCCCTGAACAAAAAAAATTGCCCACACGTGCTGTAACATGGTCATCCGGATTCAAAACTATGGACCAATTTCTCTGGCCTTCGGTACAGGCAGGGAAGCCACCCCACTGCTTCTGACCTGGAAGTTTACTAACTTCATTGGGTGTTTTTCTACCTCAGTAGCACGGTCAGTAGAACAGGTCCGAAAAGAAGAGTTGAAGGAGATGATGGAATGATAACAGAAGAAAAAACAGGGCCTAGAAAGAGAGAGTTCAGGAAAAAAGAAGGAAGGAAAAACAGCAGGGGAGAAGATGTGTCTTCTTCATTCTGTCCCCTAAACTGAGTGATGCTAGGTTAGTGTTGTCCAAACTTGGCCACTTTAAGATGAGTGGCTGGCTGGGGAATTCTGGGAGTTGAAGTCCACTCATCTTAAAGTGGCCAAGTTTGGACAACACTGTGCTAGGTGGTGCCCTGTAGAAGAATCCCCAGCTAACAAATGCAGAGAAGTTGACGAAGCTGCAGAAAGATCACCCGCTCTTAAACCCAGGATGGGAATTAGAGTTTCTTGTGCCTTTCAGCTTACCTATTCTAATTCTGTAATCTGCAATCAAGCTGATACACCAGTTGATGTCATGATTATATCTCTCTCTGGCTTTGTCCTACAAAGAAAAAGGAGACAGGCATACAGGCCCTGCTTGTAGAACAGGGCAAATGTTTCCTTTCCAGAACTTTACAAGGGCACAGCGGCGGTTTTTCTGGAGGCTTTACTCACGATCAGCATCTGTTTCTCTTCGCAGTCAAAGTGCTTCAGGCCTCTGAGAGAAGTGGAGAACCTGCATTAAGAAGGGAGAGAAGCAGAAATCTCACCCTGCCAGAGGAATGATTTTCCAGCCCCCTCTGATGTCTAGAACCATGAAACTGGAAAGTCTTCCAGTTGGGGAATTCAGGCAGTTGCAGGCCCAGTTCCATCTCCTCCTTTGGTACTATAATTTGGAGTGGGAATGTGTGTGTGTGTCCGCGTGTTCCCAGTGGAAATGAGTGGCTTATTTTATTATTACGTTTTAATGACTTTTAAGGTCATTTCAGCACCAGGGACTTATAGCATCTTCATAGCATCAACCAGCTGTTGCTAAAGTGATAAAAAGCCTGTTTGCATCACCGGTATTTTGGCGCAACGATGGTTGGAGGAGTGAATGGAACCTTACAATAAAATAGAGCTAGTACTTCTGGGTGTGCTTCTTGTCTGGACTACCTCGCAGGGCTGACATCTATGCTAAAACTGAAGGTGGCAATGCACACCCACATGCTAACATTCCAACCAGCCCCCCCAAGAGATATTCCCAGTATGTTTTTTTTTTTAAAATAATACAAATCCTAATCTCACATGCAAATTTAAACATACAGCAACACTGAAGATGGGCTTTTTAGTCTGTTTGCATGTAGGAATGGCTGGGCAAGAAGATGCTGTAGCCAATCCCTGTTTTAGACTCATGTATAACCCTGCGTTTACGGATAAAAGGAGGATTCCCTGTGGAAAATTGGTTTCTGGTATCAAATCACAGAATTGTAAATACACAAAAAAGATGACTACAGTTTCTGGTGGATTCAAGTATGCAGAGGCCTAGAGGAGGTCAAGAGGATTCATTCCAAATCAAGATCCTGGAATGTTCCCAGGTCTCTTCTTGCTCTTAAGATTTACTTCCAGGAAGACCAACCTGACTCTGGAACATTCAGTCCTGGAGAAATACGGGAACGTTCCAGGAAGGGGATCACTCTGGTTTGCATGCAGCGACTACAAGCTATGCATCCCAAACCGTTTCTATCTGTGCAAAACAAGCGGGGTGTTTTTTGCTCATCTATCGGGAGAGCCAGGAAGCCTTGTTTGTAGGTGGTGCCAGAAAGTGGCTTATCAATCGATACCGCCAAAAACGAAAGGAGGGGAGGGGAGCTCTGCACCAGGGAATTTAAATAGCTTTATTTACCCCTTGGATTTCTTGGCGTCCATGCTTTTCTCTATGAGCAGCACGCTAGCTTTCTTAGTTTTCCGATTTACCTTTTTCACCTGCCAGAAGACAAGCAGAATATCTGAGCTGCTCCAAGTGCCACACAGTTTGCAATCAATGAATCCGTTCCAAAGGACAAGTGTGCAGGCCGGATGGACTTGCCACATCTCTGCAGCTGACCCCTTTGCAGACGGAGGGCAGGACATTATGGGCAAGATCATCGCCATGTGAGCACAATTAGCGAAAAGGAGACAAACCCTTCTACTGTTGTTCCTTTGATTTTTTATCCCAGCTTCCTACCTCAAGGGTGCTCCAGGCCTGTGTTTCTCAACCCGAACAACTTTAAGATGTGCAGACTTCAACTCCCAGAATTCCCCAGCCAGCATGAATTCTGGGAGTTGAAGTCTACACATTTTATGGCTGGCTGGGGAAATTCTGGCCAATTCCCTGCCCTGTGGACATTTGTATGATCAGCTTCCCATCTAGGAAAGGGAAGATGCAATAAAGTTGTGGCTATTACGTGGTCGCTAGGAGTTGGAAATGACTTGATGGCACATAATCAATCAATCAATTACAGGACTGAGAAAACAACTCCTGGGGAAAGATCTGATCAAAGTAATGTTTTTAAATATAACCAGGAACATCTACTGAGAATTCTACAGCCGGGAAGCTGATAATACGATCCGTCCAGTGAAGCAGATATCGCCAAAGAATTCCATAGTGTTCTATTCCAAACTACAGAATGATTGAATTACTGTCCACATTTTAGCATAATGCACATTTAGACAATTTGATTGAGCAGAGATTTCTATCAAGAAGACCGGATACACACCCAGGTGGGAACGCGTGCATATGTCATATTTAGTAAAATAAATGAACTTTTGTACGACGTTAAAGACCTGGATGTTCCCCTGAGCATTTGGGCCAGGAAATTAGACCAGCCCAATTAGCAGCTTTGTCTTGACCATTTTTTGCTGATTGAAAATGGAATGATTTTTAGATTCTGGGTGTATGTTTTACCATAAAGATGTGGGAAGTTTATTTTATAAATTCTGGGGACGGGGGTGTTTATTTTTCACCCTCTGTGCACTGCCTAGAGCCACTGCTGCAAGATGGGCAGTGGTATAAATAATTTAAATATGTAAATAAATAATTAAAACTCTTACCACAGCTGGCCAGTAGGGATATCTCAGGAGCTTGCACCAAACCATCATCCCCACTTCAAAAGAACAAGGCTCTAGGGTACACAGAATTTGGAGGAAAGATTAAAACTGGAATCATGCTCTTGCGGAGAATTCTGGGTAAAACTTCTACTGTGCTGTTGTTTGGCCTTATGTCACAGAATTGTATAGAGAGCCCAATCTTCTCTTGCCACCCTCCCTTGTTTCCTCAATGTGTCTTCCACCTTTATCCTTCCTAGTAGGGCAATGTTTTCCAACCTTGGTAACTTCCAGGTGTGTGCACTTCAATTCCCAGAATTCTCATCAATGGCCACACTGGAACTCTGGGATTTGAAGCCCACACATCTGGAAACTGCCAAAATGGGGAAACATTACATTAGGGGAAGGTGGCAATGCTAGATCAGCCTTTCTTATCCTTTTACCCTGGAGGAACCCTTGAAATAATGTTCAGGACTCAAGGAACCCTTGCATAAACATTATTAGATCTATAGCTAGTGTTGTGCACACCACCAAATTAAATAAATATTTTTTTTTCTATGACAATCTAGCAATCTCTTGTGGAATCCTAGGGTTCCATGAAACTCCAGTTGAAAAAGGCCATGCTAGAGTAACAAGGCAATGCCTTTGGATGAAACTATCTTCAACCCCATGTCCCTTCAAGCTTTTTTGGGATTCCTCAGAATGTGTATAGGTAGTCTTCATTTAGCAACTGCCTCATTTAGCAACTATTCGCAGTTATGGCAGTGATGAAACTTTGTGACCAATCCTCACATTTACAACCATCACAAGTCTGTACAGCAAAGGAAAGCTGCAGTAAGATCATAAGCACAGTCATGCTTTCACTTAGCAACAGCTTCACTTAATGACCAGGTTGCTGGTCCCCACTGTGGTCACTAAATGAGGACTACCTATACATATTCTGGGGAATCCCAAAAAAGCTTGAGCAGACATGAGGTTGAAAAGAGGTGGGCTGCACTGAGAGCTAAGCATCCATATGAAGATTTCAGTAAGGTGGGCTTATGATAAGTATGTTCATCTGTCTCTGCCCATTCTCACTTTGAGGCAAAGACTAAATGGGAAAAAATGTGTGCACTGTCTACACGTGACACATTATTGTGAGTTTTAATTTTTAAAACAAATTTGGTGCCTTCAAGTCAGTCTTGACTCCTGGCAACTGGACAAGTCCATGCTGTTTTCTTGGCGAGATTTTCAGAAGCGGCTTGCCATTGCCTAATTCTTCAGGCTGAGAGAGAGGGGGGTTGGTCCAAAGACCCCAGCTGGCTTGGTGCCTAAGGCAAGACTAGAACTCACAGTCTCCCAGTTTCTAGCCTGGTGCCTTAACCACTACACCAGACTGGCTCTTGGGTTTCAAAATAGGCTGTGTTTACAGCAGTTCCCAAAAGAGTTGCAGTTCCAGCCCTATACATCTGTAGGATGCTAATTTGGGGGATGGTGATCTTAAATAGCCCAGGGGTTACTATCCAAGGAACTGCCTGCTCCATAAGACCTGCCCAGGCAGAAATCCTGCTTATTCTACCATCGCTGCAAGTGACTGAAAGGGGTGTCCACAAGGAGGTAAAATGAGCCACAATGGCAACTGTGCCCCAGTGATCAAAGCGACCCCCCTTTTTTACATATGCTGTAACATCCTTGCAGCTGAGCAAGTGAGCAGAAGAGACAGGGCCTTCTTGGAGTGGCCCCAAGCCTTGGTCAACTATCTTTGTGGAGATCTGGCCCCCTCAAATCCAAGACACTGTAATTCCTACCGGGCATTATAGGGTTTAGTTCAGCCATTGCTTATTTTTAAGGGAAACTACACTGATTTGGGCATACGATATTTTGAAGAAAACAGCAGGGGGAAAGTATTAATTACCTTGATGCAAGAGGATGCTGGGTAATTCCTCCTCTTCCTCTTCATCCTTTGAATCTGGGCTTAAACTGACTTTTCTTACAGGACTCAGCTGCAGTGAAAGATCAGATGCCTGATCTGCTAATGAAGGAACACCATGCTGATTTCAGTGTTACACATAAAGTACTGAAATTTGCACTGACAAATCTCAACAATAGGCCAGGAGATGCAACACAATGAGGGAATAATCTAGTTTTACCTTTTAAATCAGACATTTCATATCCACCTGGGCTTTGCTCTAGTTGCCCCCACAACATACAGGGAGAATCTTGGGCAGAGAAAACTCTTTTTCAAAGCCACCCCAATGTTGGGATTGAGATAAGATGGCGCAAACATCCAGGCAAAAGGGATTTTTTTTTGGCATGCTGCCTCCACCTGCCCCCCGCAATACTTTTCCTGGGGATTTGAAGTATACCATATGTATTTGTGTACAAGCCCATCAGCCAACCCTTGAAATGTTTGTATGTTTTAATTTTCACAATTGGCTTATTTCAAACCAAAAGATACTCCATGATACAGATAGTCCTTGGTTAATTACCACTCATTCAGCAACCGCTCGAAATTACAACAGCACTGAATGAGTGGTGGTTATGACTGGTCCTTGAAGTTCTGGCCGTCCCATCACCCCCCTAGTCACATGATTGCGATTCAGGTGCTTGGCAACCAGCTTGCGCTTACGACAGTTGCAACGTCCCCTGGTCACATGATCGCCATTTGTGACCTTCCCTGCCGGCTTCCCACAACCAAAGTCAACAGGGAAGCCGGCAGGGAAGTTCACAAGTCGCTCAGGTAAGTCTCCCCCACCCATGCACCCTCCCTGAGCCTCACTGCACTTGTGCTGCACCTCTCCAGCCAGTCGCACCCCCTCTCTCACCTGGCAGCAGCCACCCCAAGCCCTACTGTGTCGCACCTCCCGGGCCACCCATGCACCCCCTCGCTCCTTCTGTTGCTTACCTACCTGCCAGCCTGCTTCTGAGCCGCCTGGGACTTGCAACTTCCTGCCGGCTTTCCCACTGACTTCGTTGTTGGAAGCTGGCAGGAAGCTGCAAGGACGTCCTCACTTAATGACCCACGATCCTCGCTTAATGATGGCAACAGGGACTGCAGGGATTGCGTCACTAAGCAATGCAGTCATGTGACGTCACACTTACGACCATGTCGCTTAGCAATGGAAATTCTGGTCCCAGTTGCAGTTGTAACTACTTATAGACTATATTAAGATAACTTTTTGTTCCTGTTTGAATATTTGAATTTCTTACATCATGCAAACTCTATACTTGTTTGTGCAGAGGAAGCTAGTAAAACTGTAAGCTATGAAAGACAGATGGAGGATTGTTGTGGTTAATGAGGACAGAGAGATAACGTTTGTAGAAATGTTGACGCCTTGGAAAAACAGATCTTTTCTGGTTTTTTGTGGGAGGGGGAAGGAAATTTGGGGAAAAAATTAAAATACAAGTAGTCCTCGCTTAACGACCACAATTGAGACCAGAATTTCTGTCACTAAGTGATGCGGTCATAAAGCAAGATGTCACCTGACTGCATCGTTTAGCAACCACAATCCTGGCACTCCCGGTTGCCATTATTAACCAAGAATCACAGGTCGTGAGTACCCACCCCAATCCAAGCCATTCCAGGCTTGGTCCCTCCCAACCCTGAGCCTTACTAAAGTAAAGGACTGCCTCCATCTCCCCCCACCCACCTATCTTCCCCTCCATCCCTGCTCTTCTGGCCACCCTGCCTTGCAGGGCAGCAAGCAGCCCCAGAACTGCACAGCTCTGGGGTTGCTTGCCATGTCCCGGGAAGCCACAGCTGCCCCAGCCCAGTCCCAGCTGCAGTTGCCCTGACCACACTGCATTCTGAGACCCCTGCTGCCCTGTGCTCCACCCCCCCCAGCTGACCTTCGTCGTCTTCTTGCTCCAAAAAGTCCCTTTGCGAAAAGCTCCTGGGCGGGGATGGGATGGGCTTTTGCTTCACGTTGCAAAAAAACAACAACAACCAGACAAACCCCAAAAGCCAAGTCCAGTCGTGCCAGAGGACTAAGGCTGGCCCAATTTACCCAGCAGCTGAACGCAGGACCAAACTACCCACCTTCCCAAGGAGGAGGACTGGCCTACCACAGAAAACAGAAGGGAGAGGCTCAAAGGGGGCCACAAGGGCCTGGTCTACCCACATATCACAGCCACAGAACCAAGGTTCCCATGCACGGGCTAGTCTACTCACAAGGGAAGAAGGAAAAAAAAAAAAAAGAGGAGAGGCCGGGAAGAGGAGGCTGGTCTACACTGCCCAGACTCACTTGGTGTAAGATGGGCAGCTATATAAATGTGATGTACAAAAATAAAAAAATAAATAAGATAAAAAAATAAAATAGAATAAAAAAATAGAATAAAATAGAATAAAATAGAATAAAATAAAATAAAATAAGAGG